GAACACTGGTGAAACCGTATGTTTACTGCTTAGCACAGATTACCACGTACGCTACAGCTGTGTCTCACCATACTCTCACTTCTCTGCACACAACTCAGCCGGTCCTTATCCACTTATTGCTCTACGAGTGTGACTAGCTAATGCGGGCTACCTCACTCGACTCCGCCACGAATCTCGAGTGTTAACTCACTAGCACGCCCGAGACAAAACTCGAGTGCCTACCTCTCTAAAGCGGCCCACAGAAAACTCTGATTGTGGGACTGCAGCCAACTCCCGCGACAGAACACAATCCGTGTCACTCCCGTTTCACACACCGAGTCTACTGTTTATTCTCCGCGCTAAGCAGGAAATACATTTCCGCCACTTTAGAGGGGGTTGGCTAACCCTGATCCAAACATGGCTGCCTCCATGTAAGCAAGCCGACTATCCACACAAACAATTGGTGAGCAGGCAAAAACACTACGAAAACGGCACCAACTAATAGACACCGGACTCACAAAATAATCTATCACAATCCCAGAAACGGATATTAAACACAAATACCTGCCGTGGTCTCCAGTGCAGCTACCTGCCATTACCTAACGACTGGGAACCGTGGGTGACCGGTGCCACCGGCACTGAATAATACAGTGTAGGTGCATACAAGCAGGCATTTAATGTAGTGAGTGCAATATGCCTACGAGTAGCCCTATTGTAGCTCGTATAAATGGTATTCGCCAAATTATTGCGCTGCGTTTGACTATCCTAGTATGGCACCAATGACATTGATAGTACGTGTTTGTAACACTGATATTGGTGTCAATGGGAGCCATTATTTTGATATGGCGGATAGAGAATGATGGTTGAGAGGCTAGTGGACAAACTAGGCCTTTTATTCTATAGCGAACAACCTGTTTACGATTTTCACTAATTCGCCATTGCTGGCCAGAAGTTGATTCTGTACGGGGTAAGGCTTGAATAAAAATAACGCTAACCTATGTCTTTGCATGAGGCTTAATAATAGGTACCAGATATAAAAAAAAATATAAAAAATTGTATAGAGTTTTTCTCTTTTTAGGCCTGCTCATACAAGGAAACAAACACAAACTTCGGAAGGCTACGTTCATTCGTCGATAACTCAGCTCGGACAACCTACTGTGTCTTCTAGACCCTTTTACCCAAAAAGCCTATGCTACTTCATGCAGTATTTCAAGGTATTACAAATTTGAGTCTTGAGTCGTACCTTTATCTCTATTTCAGTTATCATACCATATGAAACCAGTAGTCTTCATGTAATGGTATCAAAACAATACACAAAATACAAGCAGTCCCTATAAAAATTAAACAATAAAAAATTACAACGCACAATGAAAAGTATTTAAATTAAAGTTATCTGACAAGATTTAAATAATGTTTACTAATCGTTTATGAACATTTCACACTTTTAAATCAACAAGATACACGGTTTTTAAGTAATTTGCAGTATAATTGATCAATCCAATTTTCAGGTTTGTTTTACTTACTTTTTTAGTTACAGCGTCATAATAAATGATATGTCACCTTCCACAGTCTCCGGAAACATATGCCAGGGCCGTTCCACACAGATGATCGTCCACCTCGGCTTACTAAGGTGTTCTGCAGCAGCAGCACAGCAACAGCAGAGCAACAACTACAAACAGAAGCAGCAGCAGCAGCAAGCAGCAACACCAACAAAATCATCAGCCAATATTCAACTGCAGCAGCAGCAACAACAGCGAACAAAATCATCAGCAATATCCAATTGCCAGCAGCAAGCAGCCAACAACAGCAACAAAAATGATCAGCAATATCAACTTGCCAGATCAACAACAACAACAAACAACAACAACAATAATGCCAAAGCTGTCAAATAACGGTGAGTATTTAGCCAGAAAAAGGTTGTTCTGTCCTCAAGACAAGGTTGTTGCTTTATACCACGCTATATAAATCATCAAAGCTGCTTCTCCTGCATGTAAATCTGCAAATAAAGCTACATAGTGTACAGTGAAGTATTACAAAGCACTAGTCAGTTTGTTCTGCAAACGTTTTCTGTTATGTTTAACTATTGTGCATTTAGGTATTTATTCGTGCCACATGCTTCATGTATATGATCTCTTTATTCGACAGAGTGGCATACGTTCGTTGAGAAACATTCAGTACCATGTTCGGCTATCCAATATTAGCTTTGATCAGTTTAGCAGTATTCCTGCTGAGCCAAAAAGACTACGTATTCTGTAAATATATTCACGGTCCAAAATTACAATTTCGGGCAGAGGTGTGTGGCAAACAGGGGTGGTTCGGGATGAATGGTTTTTGGCCTGATATCTATTGAAGATTAGGTTAAATGATCCATTAGGCGGAGGTCTATCGATTTTTAGCCTCATCTGACGTGTAGTCAGATGCAGCTTGTAGAGATCGCATGATTGTGCCGTCCGTCGCGGCCGTCCGCTCGCTCCGTCGCGTGCGTCAACAGCACTGGCACGAAATCTAACCGCTCGCCGTACGATCAGCGATATCGGGACTCGTCGGAGGGGATTCGAAGTGAGAACGACTCGGGTGACGAGGATTGAGCGCGTCAAAAGGTCATAGAAGATGTGTAAACGGCAGGGGGAATATTTCCCTTAACTTAAGGTACTAGGGTGAGGAATGACGGAAGTTGCGGCCACAAATCTTACTGGCTCGACCTATGCTTTTAATAATTCGGTGATATAGTGTGATGCCGGCACGGAAAACCCATTCACCAGATGCGAATTGGAGGTCACAGGTACAAAGGGCCAGGTGGGGGAAAAGGGTCAGATATAGAATTTATCTGAGGACATGGGCCTAATGGACAGGAGTGAAAAACTTTTTGTGTTTTAGCGCTGACCTACCATTTATATCACTTTATTTGAAGGACCATAAGATGTGCGTTCCGAGCTGCACGTGGCGAAGAGTCAAGTGTCTGATAACCTTTTGACCCTCGAAGGAGGAGCGTAACGATGGATTCCTGACGTGCCTCAATGATGTCAAAGTGTTCTCATATTCATGCACATCCACTAATCTAGAAAGCCAATATGTCTGGGATAGCCCACGGGTACTGGCACGATGCATTACGGCTCAAAGGTCCTATGGATCGCAATCCCATCAGATTTTTTTATGTTACCTTGTTTTTCTGTATTTTTTCTTTATCCATTTAACTATTTTTTCTCAATATAACGCAAAAATATTACAGCACGAGCGCACCAATGGGATTGGAGGTATACAGGAATGACAGAAGGTGCTGAGAATGATGCTGTACGCAACACTCGTATCTGCATATCTGCCGCCCTAACCAAAGGCGTGTGCACTATTGCAGCGACCTAATCATTGTTACGTTTATTGAACGCGTAGCAGACAGACCTCAGATGAAGCCCAGACGCTCTTGCGGCTCTTGTTACTTTTTCGTTGGCCATGCATTGATCCACACACATACAATTTTTGTGTTTTCATTATCGTTTATACTTGATGATATATTTTACTGAAATAGCTAAAGATCGGAGATTGTATATTACTAATGTGAAGCATCTGAACAAAATGCATTCAGGACCTAGAATAGTTAAAATTTGAACTTCGTGAATATGATTCTTTCACATGCGATATAGTGATACTCCTATCAATTAAGGATAAACTCAGCGTTTGTACGGTGTAATTCAGTCAAAAATTTCAATCACTCACTATTTTGATTAGTATTGTACCTCTGCCGGCAGCTATGTACTGTAGGTTAATGTATGTATGTATGCTCCCAAACAGTTGCAAATCCTCGCGCATGCCTACCTGGGCTGTCCAAGGCCTCGGCTCGCCCTTTAAGTGATGTACGTACCATAAATAGTAAAGAGACAAGAAAAAATCACACTTTTATACCAAATGTATGCTAATTCTGTTCGCTTTTTATGCCGTTAAATTAAGCTGCCCATTATACTTCCTATTGTACTATATTGTTCGATGTAAACATGCACGAGTAACTCATACATGTATAGCAGGTAAGAATTTGACGATACATTTAGTCCTGTTAGTACTTACTTTTAATGTAAAAAAAATGGCAACAAAATATTTACAAATTTACACCATAGAAAATTCGTGACGTAGTCAGTTTAAATACACGACTCCTATAGTTATGTTATTAGCGCAGATCAGTGAGATACAAGATTATATTTTAGAAGTTTTGGCTCTTTATTTATGTTATTGTTGTGTCATAAAAATCAGTACAGATTTTCGTGTATCTTTTTAATTATATCTGAAATAAAACATTAACCCTTTACTGGTGCATACTATGAACAACTTATGGCTAAACTTTTAGGTCTGAGCCCTTTGCTATTTCTAAGAAATGTAAAAAAAAAGTGAAATGTGAAGCATTTTTTCATATAAATGTACAATTTTTGCTGTCATGTAATTAGCGATGACGGTCTTGTGATTATTTTCACGGTGAGCATAGAGAGACATCTCGTTTATTAAATAGATGTGTGTTTTATTGGATTTGATGAGTAGTTATGATATATTGCCCTTTACAGAATTACATGTCCATAACCCTGAGTCTATCCTCAATCCATAGTATATGCTTTATATGTATTGCTCATTTGACCTGCTGAAAAGAATCTGCTGTCTTCATGTTAAAGCCAAACGCATACAGCAGACATTTGTTATAATACAACAGAACAATATATCTCCCAACAATAATCGGCTGTCTGCGTTGCCCAAAAACACAAAACGTTTGTCTTCCAACATTTGTCGTTGAGATCCAACGTGTTTGGTATTTGCGACAGATGTTTTGTCTCAAGGTCAGAGTGTCGGCTGTATACGTTGCGAGTAGACCAAGACAAAAGACCGTTTTGCCTAATTGATCAATCAATGTCCTACTAGTGATCACATGATTTTAAAAATATACAAGACAAGTGTCTGCTGTGTGTGTTAACGAAGGCAGAAACAAAGATGAATGTCTCTGCCATATTACAAAAATTGTTTACATATCTATCTTGTCATAATTCTGTTAAAATTGCTTACTGTTAAGGTAGCTAGCTGAATATGTGTGTCACCTGTAAATGTAAAAACTTGTTTTGCTATAAAAGTATTGGCCATATACTTCAACTTGGTCCTTCCTACATACCTGCTCCCTCTCTCTACCCCCTGCCCTTGTACCCTGGCCTATGTTGGGTTTACATAAAAATAAAGTCTCATCCCTAGCTATCCTCTTATCCTGAGTCTTAATATATTGCCATAAGTACTGTTGTCATGAATCCGATACTTAATATCTGTAAAAAAATAAAAGTGATAAATAAAGTAAACCTTTGTTAATTCACATGTAAGGGTGTGTTGAGTTTGAGGTAACACTAAGGACCATTGCTTGCCATACTTAATGTATAAATTTGGTAGTCTATGGTCATTTTTGCTTTGGCAGGGTTTGTGTCCGTGGCAAAGCTGGGTGACGACAGCTTTGGATCACTTGGCATTTTCCCAAGCAAAGAATCGGCTGACGATGAGGCTGCGAAGAATGCTCTTCAGCACGTGGAGGAGTGCACGTCAGGTCATCTCTACTTGTCATCACTACTTTGTTCTCGTGTTCCTGAGATAATCAGATCTTGAATTTTTATGTACGTGTGTATGTGCAAAACTCGAGATCTGGTAATCTCAGGTAAAATAAAAATAATGAGCTGATTTAAATGGTTAAAAAAATTATAATATATGTGTGCGTGCGTGCGTGCGTGCGTGCGTGCGTGCGTGCGTGCGTGCGCGCGTGCGCGTGTGCCTGCGTACGTGTGTGTGCGTCTGTGTGCGTGTGCGTATGCGTGCGCATGTGTCATCGATTGCAAAATGATTCTTACTGGCTTCATATACATACAGTGGTCATTTCTTCAAACAGCCTAACCTCACCTTATGTGTACGCATTATTCTCAGAAGACTGACTTGGAGCATGATCTTTAAATTACACTCACACTTGTTAGTTTTGGAATTGGGCAATGCTATCTCTGCACATATTGTGAACTATTTTTAACAGGAAACGCCATGCAAAATGTGTGCAGTGTCCATATTTTATGTTAATCACTGCACAAGTGTAAGTATTTTGATGTAGCCCTGTTGTAAGTGAACTACATACTAAACTGTTCAACTGTTTTGCTGTAAAAATGTTCATAGGTGTTATTATTTGCTTGGCATGCGATCACACTTCAGTCCAGCACTGTCGCACGAAGGGTCGTTGTCGTAACAGGTACTACAGATATGTACCCGAGGTAGTTTTATGTTGTTTAGTATTATGTTTATATTATTACGATTTGTCATTTGTTTTGCAGCTGGCATTTTCCTCGATGAGAATGTGAATGCTGCCGTTGATGACGAAATGTTCATAGAGCGGCTTAAGAAGGTGAAACACACACACTGCATGTTCTAATTACATCTAATTGTGAATTGTTATTGTTCAGTTTAATCATCTAAACTCTAAAGGCTTAGTCTCTCATATTAGTTTTACAGGTTAAGAAGTAGTTGTTCTTTTTATAACACACGAGAATGTAAGATTTAGAAAGAAGTAATATACTGCTGTGTCCCATTCTGACAAAAGTACACTTTGGTACTAAATTTCTGGTTTGCTCAGCTAAATTGGTACACTACAGGTAACTCTTGATTCACGAGAGTTTGATTTTTAGCATGTTTGTAATAACATGTTTCAATGTTGATTGACACATTGTCATATAATTAGAATAAGATGGGCTTGCATAATTCAAAATATGAGCAGTTTGCGTAAGCGTGGTGTCGGAATGCAGCTTACCCTTGTGTGTTACTGCATAGATGCACTTTCATGATGACTCTGATTTTTTTTGGCCTTCGATGTCAACAGGTTCTATCCACCCAATTTCGCCAGAAAATCCACTTTTTGGTGTTTTTAAAATTCAAAAAAGGCATTGTTGAAATGAACTAGGAATTAAAGACTAAGATTATGAATATGGATTTTGATTGCAAGATATAATCTTTGAAATGGATGAAGTTATAAGAGTGACATATTTTTTGGTAACATATTATATAAACTAAGTTATTTTTGCAGGTTCTATCATTTCGGCCTAATGGATTATGGGGTTCACGCTTTGCCATAGAGTACACCCAGTTGTTTCAGGAGCGCCCTCCTGGAAACTGGCTGGAAATCTGTAACAATAATACCAATGTTGTGAAGGTTGAAAGGTAATGGGCACGTGCAGGCACAGAATGGGGGAGGGGTATGAGGAAGCAGTGTCTGCGTTCATGTAACCGTTGTGACTAAAGTGGAATCTGAGAATATCTTAACTTGGTTTGGCATTTTATGATGAATGATCTGTTCATAGTAGGCTTTTACACTGTATAAATGGTTACTCTACAACAAAATTCGTTGCATTAACTACATTCCTGCCATTTTGGTGTATAATGACCTAATTTGCTTATTTGCATAGCACTATATATCATCTACTATGGTAAACTGTACAGTAGTATACATGTGTTCGTGATATCGCTCATAGCAGCCCTAAACCAAATATAAGTTTCATAATTACATGGATTATCTCATATAGTTTGTAATGGACCGTGATAATATCTTCTAGTTATTGATACACAGTCTCTTTACTCCAATTTCCAACGTTATTTCAGGGTGTCAGAACGGGTGCTGCTATATGAGGTGAAGAGTCGGTCAGCAAGCTCTGTGAAACGTTCTCAAGTTAATAAGGTAATTCTATAAAATTTGGTTAAGGATACTCTCCACGTTGTGCACGGGTATTGCTCTAGTGAAGATTAAACGTTTATTGGCAAATGAATCGAATCAATCACTTGTTTTATTTATAGAGGAGATATATCTCTATGCTCAAGCCAAAAGATTTCATGAAATTTCCAGCACCTAATTATGTTACCACACAAATTTTAAATTTTGATGTAAAAATGGTATTTTGGATATTTCTCAGCTACCAGAAAGAGTGAGGATACAAAATTTTTGCCACATGTTAAGCACAATATGGACCAAAATAGCGCGTCAGGATTTTTCTTTATTTTTCATATTTACCGAGAAAACTCGAAAAAACTGCTTAAAAATCAAGTTGTGTGTTAAAATAGAAAATTTTAGCGAATAAAGAGGCATAACTAATAAAGTACGGCACTTAATAACAATCCCTGACGCGCTTTTTTCCACAATATGTTACCATTAAAACGAGTGTAAATTTAAATTAATCCGAGTTGTAATCACAGAGAAATATCCATTTATACATCGGCTACTATGTCAGCAATCGAAACGGAGAAATCAGCGTTTTTCTATTTTTCACAATTAGTGCAAAACGCTCTGACAGTTCACATGTACCGTTATATGGAGAAATTAGCATGTACACAGGTGGCACATAGTGTTAGCCATCGAATAAAGTTGAAAACGAAAAATCGATGAAATTTCATGCACAACGTGGAGAGTATCCTTAAGTTGATTTTATAGTAGTTTAATTAACATAGAAATCGGTTGTTGCAAAGGCTTTGTGATTACAATTTATATACTCTATGATATTAAACTGCAGTTCAGCAAGTTCTTTTTTTATAAGTATAATGCCACCCCATTATAATTGGGTGATACTCCATTAGGAGTGTTCCCAACTTTAATGTCATTAATGGTCATAATAACATATATATATATCAAGAGCGGATAATACCTAGAGTGTACAACGGAAAAACGGGGAAATAGTGCTATTTCACGACTACATTATTCTACTTTGCCTGCGAGTCTAGAATAATTTCATGGTATTGCATTAAGCAGAATTCTTTGCTCTCTAAAACAAGACCAACCGCTTGTCAATACGATACTCCGAGGCGGAGATATCTTCTCCTAAACCTCCCCTCCCACATGCCAAACGCCGCCTCGAATACACTTCTGT